GCTGCTGAGCCCGGCAGATTCTAAAGTACAAGATTTCTTACTTTCACTACAAGTTCCACTAGCTATAAGCCTTCAGACTTTTCAAATATTCCTAGATATGTGGTTCAGAGTTTTGGAGCACTACTTTGAACTTTGACTGGTATTCTGTGGCATTGGTGATGGAAAACTTCACTGCACCTCTACCCTATCCACCATCAAGCCCCACCTCCCCAATGTCACTTTTAGAAGTTTTGTTTTGTTTTAACACTTTAATCATCATTCATTCAACCCACTACTACATACTTCCTTAAGATTATTTCTCCCCTAAGAAGGAGACATAGAATTAGTACAAAACAAAAGTAAAAGCAAAACAAAATGAAAAAACACACCCTGTTGCCCATGTTACCCTTGGGTAGGAAAAGAAATCCCCTTTAAAGTACCCCAAACCAATCACCATAGCCTTCTGAGCTGATCTCTCTACTTTGAATTTAACTAACCCACCAGATCTCCTTGGAAGTCACTGCTTTGAGTAGATGTTTTTCTTGCAGATACCCTACTGAGACTAAAACATGTATATTACTAAGAGAACTTGTCTGTTGCCATCCATTGACCACATAGATATGTTCAAATATGTTTTGTTTGGAATGAACATGTAAGTATGTGAACTGTCTCCTAATAACAAGCAATACTTTTTGATTTGCCCTCTAGCAAAGGTCACAATATATTCGAATGTGAGCATGAATTGTCAGTACACAACTGGACCAAACAAAGCGCTGGTTAAGTATTATTTAGCCACAATGTTAAAATGCTGCCGTTGTACCTGCTTTAGCTTAGAATTTCCAGGAATGGCTTTTACTGTCTATGTGTAGGATTACTATATTTTAAACTTATTGCTGCAGTTTTAACAGATGTCAGCTACAAATTAGGATGTTTTATTTACTTTACAAGCAAGAAAAAAACATTAGGTTATAATTATCTACTATATTTCAATTACATTGTAATAGGATACCTTCCAGGAAAAAATCTGCAATAAATATGTTAAACTAATAATCTTGATGATTTTAAGATGAAATAACCCTTTGTTCCCACATTTAAATACTTGTATTTTTAGTATGCTTGTGAGCTAACAATAGAAAAGTATGGCAAATTACAGGATAATGGGGTTTTCCTTATTTTAACCAAAAGAATTAAGCCTGAACATAAGGCAATAACCTGTAGAACATAGAAAGCTATATAAATGGTTTGCTATTGCTCTGGACACATTCCATCAAATATCCTTCACAGTCAGATGTAATCTATTGTGGCTCTTGCTATTTTTCTTGATGCCGACCTCTTCCCTCTTTTAGCTATGATAACAACTGTGTTGTTGTTGTTGTTATGTGCCGTGGAGTCGGTTCTGACTCATAGTGACCCTGTACAGGGTTTCCGAGGCTGTAAATCTTTACGGGAGCAGAAAGCCTCATCTTTCTCCCATGGAACAGCTGGTAGTTTCGAACTGCTGACCCTGAGGTTAGCAGCCCAATTCGTAACCACTACGCTACCAGAGCTCCTTTATGTATTGGGTTTTAACATTTTCTTGATCACAAATGGTTTTGAGTTCTAAACCACTGATGTTCTGAGTTTAGTTAGTCATTCTATTTATTTATTTATTCATTCATTCAACCATTGAGCAAGTATTTATTGAATGTTATTATGTTTCAACCACTGCAAAAAGTACTAGAGATAAAGCAATGAAGAAAACATACAATCTCACATTCTGGTCAGTATGTGGGATGTTTGACTCGACAACAAATGGGTCCTGACTGCTGTGTTTAGGTTGGTCTGCCTCCTACCTCTGCTGTTAGCTCTCATCTCTTACTAGCAATCTGTCTCACTGTCTAGCCTGAACTATCATCACAGATTGTTTCCCTAAGCATCGTTCCAAGTCGACAGTAAACCATACCTCTGGATGGAACCAGTGATGGTTAATTTTATGTATCAAATTGGTTACAAAACGGTGACTAGGTGTTTGATCAAACACTAGTGTATTTGCTGCTATGAATATATTTTGTAAATGTGATTCATATTTATAATTAGTTGACTTTAAGTAAAGGAGATTACCCTCAATAATGTGGGTGGGCCTCATCTACTCAGCTGAAAACCTTAAGAGCAAAAACTGAAGTTTCCCAGAGAGGAAGGAATTCTGCCTTAAACTGTGACATAGAAGTCCTGTATGGGTTTCAGGCAGTCCTAGGGACTTGGGACTTTTCGGCTCCCAAAACTCTGTGAGCCAATTCCTTAAAGTAAATCCTACTGATTCTGTTTCTTGGGAGAACCTTGACTAAGCAGTTCATTGTTTCTCACTTTAGATGTGCTGTTCCCTGCTCTTCCATGGGGTCTCCAACCATTATTCCCAGAGTATAGGGTTTTCCTGTGTTCCCCTTCTTTGATGGTGTGACTCAATTCTAATGACCTGGTCCTATGATCAAGTTCAAACACATCTGTGCCATTTTTCTCAGGAATGAGACTTTGGGAAGACTAGTCATTGTCAAGTGATATTACATATTACAGTAAAGCCTCCTAAAGCCAGAACCTATGTAAGGTTGAAATCTGTCAAAAAAGGAAAACTCAAACACATATTTTCCACTAAAAAGAGAAATAAAAAAGTGGCAAGACTTCAAACCTGTCAAAAGTGACAAACTTGTGACACCTGCAAAACAAGGCAGTCCCATCAAGTTCCAGCTCTCAAAAATTTCACTGGACATTAAATACAAAATACGATCTTTCTCATCATTATGTATGGTAGCTTACTTGATAGTTCTCTGAGCCTATCCCAAAATGTAAAAAGACAAACACTAAACCTTTCAAAAGGTAAGAAAATTAGGTTGCCACACACTCCCATGTTTTCGCCATTGTTGAAAACTGACCATCAGGAGTGTAGGCAGTAGAGCAAATTCTGAACTGCTTTTAATGGACGAAAAGAATATCACTCACAGACTCATGGGGCACTCATGGAAGGGGGAATCCTGAACAGCAGTGAAGCATGGTGGTTAAGAATTCCAGTTCTGGGCTGGATTGCCTAGCTATAACCCTTAAAATCCTCTCTGTGTCTTTGTTTGTTGTTGTTGTTAAGTGCTGTCGAGTCGATTCCCACCCATAGCGACCCTGTACAGGGTTTCCCAGGCTGTAAATCTTTACGGGAGCAGAAAGCCTCATCTTTCCCCCGTGGAACAGCTGGTAGTTTCGAACTGCTGACCTTGAGGTTCGCAGCCCAATTCGTAACCACTACGCTACCAGAGTTCCAGATAAGTGTCCTAGTTTACTCATCTGTAAAATAGATTGAGGGTAAGTCAAACGTTAGCTGCATTCTGGCTATAGAATTTATTTTAATCAACTTTTAGAAAAGACAAATACATCATTTTTGGCCATAATCTCCTTGCTTTCCAATATATTTGTCAACAAGGTTTCATATTCCCTTATTTAAAAGTATTTTAAGCGGAGCTTCGAGCCACGAATGTGCCGTGGTCTTAACTTCATTGAAGGGTTGCTTTCAGGGGGTCAAACAGGTGAAAGCCTGAAGGTGTAAGATCAGGACTATATGGAGGATGCTTTAATACCTCAAAATGAAATTTTTGCTGTGTGTCAACAGTGTGAGTAGAGGTGTGTGGATGTGCATTGCCATGCAAGTTCACAATGCCCTTGGATAACAGTCCTCTGTGTTTAATCCGAAGTTTAGGCTTCAGCTCTTCACTGAGCATCTCACTGTAATGAGCACTGTTGATTGTTGAACCTTTTTCCTGATAGTGTTCCAATACTGGCCCTTGAGAATCCCAGAAAATTATGCATCAATTTTTCAGTTTATGGTTGACTTCTGAACTTTTTCTTGGTCGGCAATTGAGGATGTTTCCATTCCATACTTTGCTTTTTACTCTCAGGCTCCTAGTGATGAATCCATGTCTCGTCACCAGTAACGATAGTTTTAAAGAAAATTTTACCATCCTTCAAATATCGGTCCAAAGTTTGTTTGCTGATGTCCAAATGTTTCTGTTTATGCTCTTCTGTGAGTTGCTTCATTATCCAACTAACACAAACTTTTCGAAACCCAAGTCTGTCATGGATTATTTCATAGGCAGAGTCATGGCTGATGTGTAAATGATTTGCCACACAATCCACTGTCACTTGTCTATTCAACAGAATCATTTCATGTGCATGCTCAATGTTGTCATCAGTTGTGGACCTGGATGGGTGTTCTAATATAACTGAAGTGTGGATAATTTTTGACTCAATCTTGTACATAAGATTGTGAGAATTAAATGAATTAATACAGGCAAAATGCCTGATATTTTGCCTGGGACATAGTAGATACATAATAAAAGTTAGTTCTTCTTATCCCAATCTCTTCACTTATTTTACAGATGAAGATACAAACTAGCAAATTAGAGAAAATACCATTGCTAAAAGCATGTGTCTTGGGCCTCACCATATAAATAACATAGATTGCTTTCTGATACCCTGCTTACTTAACAAAAGGAAATAAATGAGTGCTGAATCATTTGCATTCTCATAAAGAGGCTACTCAGTTATATCTAAGTTCCTCTTCTCTTCTAATATGGAAAATTTCCAAAGACATATTTTCCCAGTTCTATTCTCTCAACTTCCAGCAAGCAGGATTAATTAGAGGAAAGTGATACAAGGTTAGGAGGCCAAGTGAAATTCAACTGTATGCCCTAAGAGGGCAACCATTTCATTCCTTACCTTAAACTTGTCAACTTCAGGTTTGGAACATGTTGCATGGTAAGACAACACCTGATTCAGAAAAAAAGCAAAGGAAAACTTTAATAACCAGACATGACTATCTTTTCTGAATTTCTCCTGGTTTAAGAAATTTGACTCATGTATATCACTTGCCATAACAGTGAATTATAATATACAACAAGAAGGTTCGATAACACTCTGTGACATAGATTATCTTCTGTGTAGCTACAATGATATCCCTTATGATGCTGAATGAAACGACCCCACATTGAAGACTAAGTATTTTATACCAGGCTTTTCCACGGTAGTTATTTCATCAGGTAGACAGGGTGTGGCTCAAGACCATAGCTCCTAAAGAGGGTGAGTACTTGTCCAGTTAAATACCCTGGGAAAAAATCATTTAATTTGTATTCCATTAATTCTCGGAGCTTTGTTTTTCACCACTGCCTTTCATGCAGCTTGGACTTCTTCCTTTTAATACCAATGATTCTTGATCATTGGGTACCTCTTGAAGTGGCTGAACATTGACCAATATTTTTGGTACAGATACTCTGTATATTACTTCCATTTTCTTTTTTTATTTTATCATTTTTGGGGGGGAATGAGTAGGAGTAAGGAGTGAGGGTTAGGGTTGAGACTATGGCTAGCTCTTGGCTAAGGTGAGGACTTTGTTTATTGTTAGGGTTATAGTTAGGACTGACTAGTGTTACTATTAAATGTGAGTGTTGAGCTAGGGCGAGGAGTAAGGCTCAGTCTAGGTTTTAGGGTTACAGTTAGGTTTATTTTTTTTGCTTGAAATTTATTTTATTTCCTCTTCACTTGGAAATTCTGTAACTGGATTGATTATTCCCTCTTTTTATTTGATGGGTTTTTGTTGTTGCTGCAACTGTTTTTCTAGTTTTCTCTTTTCAGTCTTATAGGTCTATTTTACTTTGCATGCTGTGTGAGGTGGACTGCTAGCCGCAAGATCAGCAGTTCGAAACTACCAATCACTCTGCTGGAGAAAGAGGAGGCGGTCTATTCCCCTCAAGCTTTACAGCCTCACAAACCCTATACAGTGTCACTATGAGTTCTAACTCTTTCTGAGGGTTTCACATAACCACTACTACCACCAACACATATCTGGGTTGAGTCTAGATGATATTGGTATATATTTTAGTCTAAGGTTGTTGTCTGATGTTGTTGGTTCTCTGTCCAAAGAACTCCCTCTAGTAATTTTTGTAAGATTGGTCTGGTTTTAAACATTCTTTTAATTTTTGCTTGTTTGAAAATGACTTACTTTCACCATCATATTTGATGAACAATTTTGCAGGATATACGATTCTTGGTTGGCAATTTGTTCCAGTAAGCGTTTTATATTTGTAGGTAACTATTAATTTTTCATGAGCGGCAATTCGGATTCTTTCCTTGTCTTTTTTTTTTTTTTTCTTTGAAAAGTTTGATTATAATATTTCTTGATACACACACACACACATCTATATCTATATCTATCTATCTATCTATCTATCTATCTATCTATCTATCTATCTATATGTTTGTTTGTTTTTTTTGCAGGGGTGGGGGATCTATGCTGTTTGTAATTTGTTCAATTTCTTGAAAGGCGATCTTCTCATCTTTCATGATGTTTGGGAAGTTTCCTTCCAAAAACTCTTGGACAATATTTTCTATGGACTTTTTTTTTCTTTTTCTATTCCTTTTCTGGAATTCCTATCACATAGAACATATTTCTCTTGATACTATCCCATATAATCCTTAGGCTTTCTTCAGAGTTTTTTGTACTTTTTTTCTGATTGTTCCTCTAGAAGTTGAGAGATTTTCATGCTCAGTAATTCAGCTTTCCATTGATTCAACTATATGTCTCTGCCCTTTCAGTGTATTTTTCTGTTTCTGAAATCTTACTGTTAATTTTCTGACTTTCTAATTGCTGATTTTACATGGTTCCCATTTTTTCAATTATTTTGTCAATTTGTTTCCTGATTTTTTGCATAGCTTTGTCTATGTTTTCCTTGATTTTGTATGCAGTTTTCTCAATCTCTCTGTTGTATAAATGGTGGTGGTTATGGTTGTGTGCCGTCAAGTTGGTTCCAACGCATAGAAACCCTAAAGAGGGTTTCTGAGGCTGTCTGTGATAGGGAGCAGAAAGCCTCATATTTCTCCCTCTGAGTACACTGGCAGATTAGAATTGCTGATCTTACAGCTAACAGCCCAGCTCAGAATCCACTATACTACCAGGGCTCCTTGTCGTTTAATTAACATTCTTTTAAATTCCTCATCAGGTAATTCTGCTACAATTTCTTGTGTTATGTTTTCTGACTCTATTTTGGTGACTTGTTTGAGACATGTGTTTTGTTTCATTGTGTAAAATGAAATTTTGTATTTTTTCCAAGACACTGTGTTCTGTTTATATTCAGTTGTTGATTGTATATTTGTGTATTCTCAGGCACTTCCCACCTATCTCCAGGTAGGTGTAGTAGAGACTGGAAATCTGAGAACAGTTAGTTCTTTGCTCAGTTTGTAGTGCAGTTGTTTGGAGTTTTGGTGTGGAACTGTAGGATAGGCACTGGACTGCTAACTGCAAAACTGACAGTTCAGACTGACAAGCTGCTCCTCAGAAATCCAGTTCAGGGAATGTATGAAATATGAATCTAAGAAAATTGGAAATTGTCAAAAGTTAAATGGAATGTAAATCCCAGGTGTTAGTGAGCTGAAATGGACTGGCATTAGCCATTTTGAATCTGACAAGCACATGCTTTACTATGCCAGGAATGACACTGAAGAGGAATGGCAGCATATTCATCATCAAAAAGAACATATCAACATCTGTCTTGATGTACAATGCTGTCTGTGCTAGGATAATATCCATACATCTATAAGGAAGACTAGTTAATACAACTATTATTCAAATTGACACACCAACCACTAAAACCAGTAATGATGAAATTGAAGAACTCTACCAACTTCTTTAATCTGAAATTGATCAAACATGCAATTAAGATGTGTTGATAATTACTGGAGATTGGAATACAAAGGTTGGAAACAAAAAGTAAGGATCAATAATTGGAAAATATAACCTTGGGGATAGAAATGATGCTGGAGATCGCATGATAGAATTTTGAGAGACCAATGACTTCTTCATTGCAAATACCTTTTAAAAACAACATATAGACATTTAAAGATCACCTGAGGAATATATTTGATGCATTATACACTAAAGACCAAAGAACAGAAGAGTTGTGAGATGACATTAAGAACATCATCCAGGAAAAAAGGTCATTAAAAAAAACAAAACAGTAAAGAAGAAAAAGATAAAAATGGATGTCAGAAGAGACTCTGAAACTTGCTCTCCAGCTTAGAGATGCCAAATCAAATGGAAGAAACAAGGAGGTAAAAGAGCTGAGTAG